CGACATGATCGTTGTATACAAGTCCGGCCGGAAGCACAATGACGCCGACTGCCTGTCAAGAGCTCCTGTCGAGGCCGGTCCTGCCTGTATCGAAGACGACGACGATGAGTGTTTCCTCGGCACTCTGAACGTCAGCGACATGGCAGCACTCCAACGAGACGACCCTCAACTGCGAGCGCTCATCGAGCACTTAGAGGGACAAGCGAGTTCGGTTCCCCGTGCTTTCTTAAGAATTCTGCATACATTCTCCATGCGGCAAGGGGTGCTGTACAAGGAGAACTTCGTCCACAACAACACAGCATGGCTGTTGGTTGTTCCTGCCAGCCTTCGAGACGAAATATTCCAAAGGATGCCATGACGACCCAACGGCTGGACACCTTGGCTACAGCAGGACGCTCGCCAGGATTTGAGAAAAGTACTACTGGCCGAAGCTACCGAAAACCGTTCACCTATACATTTGATCATGCCACGAGTGTCAGCGACGCAAGAAACCGCGGACGAAGCCGTCATGACTTCTGCATCTGACTTCTCCCCCGTCTATGCCGTTCCAGCAGATTGGAATGGATTTACTTGGCCCTTTCCCGCCGTCAACGTCGGGAAACCGCTGGATTATCGTCGCCACCGATTATCTCAGACGGTACGCCGAGACGAAAGCCCTTCCAGCAGGCACGGCTGTTGAAGTCGCCAAGTTTTTCATCGAGTGCATTGTCCTCCGGCACGGCGCCCCTGAAGTCCTCATCACAGACCGTGGATCTTCGTTCATGGCCCAGCTGACGCAAGAGATCCTTCGTCTCAGCGGCACCGGCCATCGTCGAACCACTGCATACCACCCGCAGACCAACGGGCTGACCGAGCGACTCAACAAGACAATCGCCGATATGATCTCTATGTACGTCGACGTAGAGCACAAGACGTGGGACGAGGTGTTGCCCTACGTCACGTTCGCCTACAATATGGCGGTTCAGGAGACCACTGGATTCACCCCGTTCCAGCTGGTACATGGTCGGAAGGTAACGACCATGCTGGACGCAATGCTGCCCCATGAGCCATCTGACAATGAGAGCGACGACGCCCAGGCGGTTGCTCAACGCGCCGAAGATGTCCGCCAGCTCGCCCGACTCATGATTCAAGACCAGCAACGCGTCGACGCGGGCCGCTACAACCTTGGTCGCAGGGACGTTCACTTCCAGCCCGGAGACAGGGTGTGGGTGTGGAAGCCCATCCGTCACCGCTGCCTCAGTGAGAAACTGCTGAAACGGTACTTTGGACCCTACAAAGTGCTTCGTCGATTAGGGGATCTGAACTACGAGGTGATGCCCGACGGAACACGGCCTTCGTCACGCCGCCCTCCACGACCGGAAGTCGTCCACGTCGTGCGACTGAAGCCGTACTACGCCCGATAGGACTGTGGACCTTATGTGTTCCAAATTACTCTTTAGTTTACAGTTCTTTTTATTTGCTTTGTTTATTTGCTTTGTCTGCGCGCGCGCAGCTGCCCAAGTAGGCAGCGCGCGCGTGGCCTAACGGTTATCGCGCTTGCCTTACACGCAGAAGGCCAGGGTTCGATTCCTGGCCGCGGCTACACATTTTTGTTGACACTGTAATGTGATGTTCTGGTGAATTCGAGAACTTGGTTCGAGGTGAGAATGTTCTACGTGCCGAACCTTCTACGCCGAACGATCCAGAAACCCACGAGGGTACAGTGCTAATCACACTTGTCTATAACGCCCGAGCGTGCGGTTTTCTCCGGGGAGCGCTAGACTGGTGGCATTCGCGGAAACCAAGCTAGTCACGTGGCGCAACATGGAACGGCCCGCTCGAGGGGTGTGCTGCCCACTCTATCAGCTTGATAAGTGATAAAAGTAAAGTGCTTTACGATATATTTTTGTTTTTTGGTGACGACATCGTCGATACGCCTTCATGCTCTAGTTTGTTTATTGTTCGAGCAATGATGTTTGTAAAAAGCGCGCGAGCAGCCTTCCGCGTTCGTCGCCAGCTGATAGAGAGGGCAAAACATTCCTCGAGCGTGCCGTTCCATGTTGCGCCACGTGACTAGCTTAGTTTGTGCGAATGCCACCAGCCTAGCGCTCCCCGGAGAAAGCCGCACGCTCGCGCGTTATAGACAACTGTGATTAGCACTGTACATAAGCGATTCCGCAAGGCGAGCGGATTCAGTCTCGCCCCAGCGCTCGATCCTGCGGTTTCGACGCCCGCGACGCTCTGTTATTATCCTTTGTACCCCTTTTATTTTTGGCACAAGTTCACCACATTAAACGTTTATTTATTTCTGTTTATTTATTGTTTTTTTGGTCACCACCCGTGACAATATAAAGCACGAGCAAAGGCGCTGGCGGAGTATCGGGTATCGTTCTCGGAAAACGCAAAAAAAAACGATCTACTAAAAACTTCCTTGGGCCACAGCGTGTTAACAGCTAGGGAAGAAAAAAGAGGAGTGAATCCTTCAATGCAACATTTTTAGATGCGGAGCATCTCTTGCTCGGGTCTATGTCCCGCGGCGTCCGTAGTCCGCACTCACACTACGCATGCGCAACTCTCCTCCTTCCCTTTCTCCAACAGCTACGCGTTACTCTCTCCGCTCTCTCTCTACCAGCTGCGTGCACTTCGCGTGCGTTCGCTTCTACTCACACCGCGCGCGCATGCGCAACTCTCCTCCTCTAGTCTCCTCTCCTTCAAGTGTGAATATAAGCAGCGGTAGCGCGCTGCGCGCGTTCAAGGGGAGGAAGTGGCCGAGTGGGCTAACGCGCGTCAGCTTAGAGCGTGGAGCGGAAGTTCGCGCTGGGAACCTCCTAAGTTCGAGTCCCCGCCGCCCCCGCCCGTTTCGGTCTGGATGAGTTTCGTACCGGCACGCGTTCGTGTGATCACTACTGCGTGATGCACGTTAAAAATCCCAGGTTAGCGGTTGTACTGCACTGGCTAAATTTCTCATCTACAGCTAAGAGACCGATTACCCGTTGAGGCGCATCTCCATCACGGCTGTATAAACATACAGAGCAAACCAATTTCTGCGCGCGTTCAGTTCACCGCTGTTGACTCCACTTCACTCCGTTCTTCCGATGAAGTGTGATGGAACGATGCTCCGCATCACCCCATGGTTCCCCTCGGGAAGATGGTGTAATATTTTTATAGAAGCCGGATGCTGATAATGTGTGGCTTTTTTTTTAGAATTCGGGAACCATTTTGTTACGCTCATCCCAATATTAATTTTATGGATGGCTCGACATGACGAGGTTTAACTTGAAAGAGTTCTGGAGATGCCGGATGTTTTCTTAGGCTTTATAGGTTCGTATTAGAACAAGCCATGAAACATACACTAATGCTGTCTGTGCAGGTGAGTTATACTACTAGGGGGACAAAATATAGGGAGCTCACCGTCACGATAGGTCGGCCAATGAACTGCAACATGTTCATCTACGTTTTAATAAGCGAAAATAAACACATGGTTCCCATTAGAAACTTGCACAGCGTCATAAAACAAACACAAATCTCCAAACACAGCTAGGTGACTGGTGCGCGACCGAAAAAAATCCGCCTGGTCCGGGTATCAAACCCGGGACCTCTCCATTACAGGTGGAGCGCTCTACCAACTCGCTCAGGGGCGTTATCTCCCCGGTAGCCTCCAGCCTGGTGCACGAGTTTTCACGTCGGAGGTCCGTCGTGCTTCCCACATGCATCTCTCTAAAACTGACTGATTTAGTGGTTTTCAATGACGCTCAGCAAGTTACTCAATCGAGCGATACGTTTATTTTCACTTAATGTAACGTTAACAATGTTTTAGTTTATTAGCCTTTATATCGTAAAGGTCAGCCTCTTATATAGTGTCCCTCTAGCCGTATAACTCACCTACCGACACCGCATTGCGTAGCTGTTTCTTTTTTTTTTTTTTGTTAGAGCGCAGCTGTTAGGCGCTTGTTTCCGGCTTGAGCGGCGACGGCGTCGGCGTAACCGCGCGTTGCATTATGGGAGACGTCCTATGACGCAACGCGCGGGAGGGAGGAATGAGAGGAGGAGAAAGAAAAAGGGGAGGAGGAGGGATGAGGAGGACAGGAGGAGGAGGGAGGGAAAGGGGAGATGCCAGCTGCCCGTTGTGCAGGCAAGTGCTCCTCCGCCTCCTCTTCGACAGCTGTGCTCTAGTTCGGAATTACAGGGAGTTGTAAACGTCATTAATTTTTAACAAATCTGCAAAGCCTACAAAACACCGTGTACAGATTTCTTTAAAACTTGACAGGTTTGTTAAAAAAAAAGACGTGAGGATGGCACGAACACGTACAGTTTGTGCAGGTGAGTTATACGGCTAAAGGGACATATAGGGGGCTAATCGTAACGGTAAATCGGATAATAGACTAAAATTGGTTAATTAACATTTTAATCGGGCGAAAAGGCATATGGTTTCAATCAGAAACATGCCCAGCGTCATCAAAAACCATCAATTAAGTATTTGAGAAAGATCCGGGGCGTGTGGTGAGCGAGGTGATGCCCAAAGTTGCCACTCGTGGAGCGGGCGCAAAGCTGGTGGCGGAAAAACGTGGATGACAAGAGACGAAAAACCGCGCGGGCGCGTTTCCGCACCACTAGCCTTGCCCGTCGCCGCACGAGTGGCAACTTTAATGCAACACTGCGCTTGCCACGGACCCGACGTCTTTCTAAAACTTACTTTTTATTGATTTTCGATGACGATCAGCAAGTGTCTGATTGAAATAGTATAATATCTTTTGGCGAATACTTAGAAACGTTATTTAACAAATTTTAGTCAAACTACGAACTTATCATGACGATTAAACCCCCATATGACGTCATCCTGGTCACAGAACTCACCTGCACAGACCGCATTAGTGTAGCTTCCCCAGCTTTAAAAAAAAAAATAAAAACTGTAATGTCTTAAAAAAACAACCTGTATAGTAGACGCGAAAACGCGGTGAAACGAACCAATGGAATGAAATAAGGAATGACCTTATAAAGAGTATAGAATTTCAGAAACTCACCTTGAACTGACTGCAGTCTCTTGGTTCCTGATATGCTCGGTCCTGTCTGCAACTATGGGGTGATGATGAGTCATAATCGGCAATTAACGACAGAAGCAAAAACAAAATCGGCTAATCTATAATATCTACATACTGGTGACCCCTAATTAATTTTCTGCCAATACAATTGAGAATTACATTAATTTAAGTGGTGAGACCCTACCGTACTCACCAATGCAGAGGCTAGGCAATATGAATCAAGACCGCCAACAAAGATCGCCAACATGTCGAAAAAATGTACCCCCTTTCGACATCAGCAGCTAAAACATTCCAATCAATTTTTTAATTGCTCACGCAAATCGAAAAAAAAAAAGATCGGGTTATTTCCTAAAATTAAAAGATAGAAAGAGATACTTCACTCTGTTTGCAGATAAACTAGTTTTCAATGTGAATTCCATAAACATTACGCGTTTCAAATGAAGATTAGACCTCCGTCTTTGTACCCCGTCTTCTTACCTACATTTTATTTTTCTTCTTTTTTTTTTCTTTTTGGGGGGGGGGGGGCTGTTTGAGTTTTGCAATCATGTCCAACTACTACGCCAAACTTTTTATCGTATAGAAGATCTTCCACACGGCATACCGGAGAAAACATGCTGCTGTCTCAGCGGAGCCTCGTTCGAAGGAGGGAACTTGACAGGGGAAATCACTCCGAAGACTGGCCTCTTGATGCGAACACGCCTCTCTGGAAGCAAAACCGTTTGGTTCCTTCACAGGACGATCCGCCCAATGCTTAAGCATTTCTAATGAGAAAACGTGCGCCCACTCAGCTTCTGGTTGAGATTTGTGTATTTTAATTCCCCTAGCTGACATGAACACAGGTGGCACGCGCAACGCCCAAAATATATTGTCGTAAAATAAGTTGATACGATAGACTCTTCAAAAATCTCCTTTTAAGTCGGGCGTTAAACCGGGTGTGCAACTGCTTTAGGAGATACAATATTTCACTGATAGCAATAAGGACAGCAGTAACTTGTAACAGAACTCTACGATTGAATCTAGAGGGACCGAAAGGACAATAGATGGTTCTCTCAATCCATGTGTCATGGTGTTTTTTTTTAATCATTACTCGTGTTACTGTACACGTAACTCAAGAAAAAAAAAGTGAGTTTTGCGCATAGTCTTTATGCTACGAGAAATAGTTCATACAAGATTTCACTGTTAGAGGAAATGAGTGAGACAAGTTTGCGGATAATTGGAGGTTTCTGTAGACTTTGTGAAACAGGTATATGAAATCCCATTGACTAAACTACAAAATAAAACGCGAATTCCTCACCTGTGAAGGTATATTTTTCAATGAAAGAATAGGTTTCGGAAATTTTTCTATCGAGTTGTATTTTTCCAAACTACAGTGCGCCTCAAACGTACAGCCGCCACGGCATTTCCCATTTCTGACAGTCCTTGCGGCGGCCGATCGAACTATCTGAAGAATGTTCGGGTTCCCTATTTCTATCCCATCCTGAGAAGGCATTCCGAACGTTTTGGTGACAAATTAAACAGCAACCAGCCCACAGAAGCTCAATATTTGGGAACGCAGTGGCGGCGTTAAGTTTGGGGAGCACTGTACATACGCACATAGAGGCAGTGTCCATACAAACTCGAGAAATCCCGAAAAGGGATACGGCACTCCCCCCCAAAATGTTTTTCCATACACTTTATCCCGACATGTAGTGCTCTACAGTATTTGGTGACTCTGTTTTAGGATGTGTTGCTTTAGTACCAGTGCAGCTATGCAGGGTGTTTTTCGGCCTTGAGAGAATTTTCTAAAAACATTCAATACAAACTATACAAATATGGTCAGTGCAGTTACATACCGCTGGGGGGACATAATAAAGGATGCTAAACGTCACGATAAGTCGAATGATTAAGTAAAATTTATTCGTTAACTTTTGAATTAGTGAAAATAAGCATAAGGTTTCCATCAGAAACTTGGTGAGATTCATAAAAAACTACTGAATAAGCAAAATTTAGAAATACCTGGAGCGCCTGAGAAGAGTGGTGGCGCATTAAATTTAATTGTGTTACAAGCGCAAGGCTTGCGGTGCGAAAGCGCAGATAATAGGAGGGGGAAAAACCGCGCGGGGGTGCATTGATGTTGGATGCATTTTCGGGACCTAGAAAAATAGAAAGCACGCACACCAAATCTTTTTACCTCTGACTGATTTAGTGGGTTCCGATGACGCTCAGCAAGTTTCTAATTGAAACCATGTTTACTTTAACTACTAATTAGAAAGTCAATCGACAAATTTCAGTCAATTATCCAACTTATCAAGACAGTTAACCCCCTTCCCCCCTCATGTTCCCCTGGCAGTATAACTCACATGCACAAACCCTATCAGTGTTCCTTTCATGGTATGTTCTCATACGCAATATCACGAGCGAAGGAGCTTACTAGTGACATGCATATTCTACCTAGGCTTGCTCCATGCTCTGCATATTATTTTATAGCTTTGCATTGTGTGTCCCCAAACAAACAAGAAATAATTCAGCAGCGAAAAAAGCTTACCCGACGTCAGTTTCTCGCCTTGCTTAACTTCAGTCATCCTTGCTTGCTTTACATCTGCGCATCCATTGTCATCTGCTCCACATTAAAAACATGTTGTACATTAATAACAACCATCCAATTAACTGCACTCATAACACAGACCATTTACCCAATACACGTGGCGGGTCAGGGTGAGCATGTCTACAATGGAAACGTTTCTAAGTAAAGAATACTTCCCCAACAGAACTCACAAATAAGGGCGGAGCATTTCAGATCACTTAAATGTATCCTTTTTGCATTCTCCAGTGACCTTCGTATCTTCAGAAAAGCAACTTTTTTATTGATTAATTTCGAACTGCAATCGATCACAGTGTGATTTTGGGAGATATTTATCTTTATATTTTATGCAGGTACCACTATGCCACCCTGTGTGATGAAGAAAGGAGGGAGAGAAAAAAAACAAATACTTCAGCAAAACAAAAGTTAGAGATTCACTCCTCGGGAAAAGTGCGTTATCTGGTGCAACGGTGTGTGACGGAATGAAGTTCCAAGCATCGCAGTACGTCACCACCGAAGGGAATAACTTCCGTTTTTAAAAGTATGATCCTTTCAACCAAAATGTACCGGGTGATTCAAGGAGACGGCAGGCTCTTTAAATCGACCGAAAAATTCGGTTTCCTAACCTATCGCGCTACGGCTTTGTGCAGCGTTGCCCACAGATGGTGCATTTTTTTTTTTTTTTGTAAAATTTGCAAAGAGCAAATTTACCTGAGGAAAAGTAAAGAAAGAAAAATGCTTAGCTCCTATGGAAACGCAGCGACGCCACCGGTCTTCAAACAACACGGCGCCGTTTCGCACGGGAGACAAGAGATGGCGCAACGAACGCCGCCAACGAACGAGCATACAGTGCCGAAAGCCAGCGTCTTTAGCAGACAATCTTTTCGACTCAAAAGCGGCGCGCGTTCGGCAGGCGGCGACAGTCGCAGAAACAAAAACAGGCGCGGTAACAACAAGGAACTGCAGTTCCTTGTCTGCTAAATACGCCGGCTCTCGGCGTCATCTGCTCGTTCGTTGGCGGCAGTTGGCGTCGCGACCGCTTGCGCCATCTCTTGTTTCCCGTGCAAAACGGCGCCGTGTTGTTTGAAGACCGGTGGCTCTATACAAAACACAATTATCGGCAAAGATTTATATGATCAAAAAAACATCCTCAGTAAAAAAATTATTTAGATATACCATGTTACACATGGCACTTCGATAAACAATTTATAGCGATTGTTTTACAATTCAATCAATGGCTGGCTGCTGTTGGAGAAAATTATTTACGTTAAGCCTAACGCAACTGAAATGTTTGTTTGTTTTCTCCTAGAAGGGCCCCTACTGCGCTAAGCCTGTGCCTCTAAATGAATGTCACTATAAACGAAATCTAAAAAAAATTTTAGAGGAAAGAAATGGCACGCTGATTGTAACATACCTGGGTCAAACCTCCGTTTTCTTCTCAGCAGCTTATCTCTCAGGTCGTCGCTTTCAACTGTAATGAGAACCAAACACCTTGTTTTACGCATTAATGTATAATGACGCCACAGAAACAGTTAGTATTTTTATAAGAAAAAGTAATTAAGTAGAAAACAAAAACAAATATAAGCTGTAAAAGCATAGATAAGTCCCTTAGAAGGCAAACACTCTTGTTAGGTATGCTTGGTGGAACATTTTCGTGACCTTATATGCGTAGAAAGGTCAGTGCTAACTGTCCAGAATAATCTAATCTGATGAGACAGGCCACGTCGTGCGTTTCTTATGTTGTCAGTGACAACGGGAATATTACAAAAGTAAAGCGCAAAGAGACATAAAAATAATTTTTATTTTACTCCCTATAGTACAAAATGCTATGCACCAGAAACTCCTGTACCGAGACCTCCAGCATGCCCGAGGAAGGTGTGCGAAGAAGCAATGCTATCTACTCAATCATCACAAACAGCACAGACATTCACTAAAGGAAACTTTGATTCTGTAAAAATAACATTTTCTCGAATCAAAAAATCTCAAGTCCAAAGGGAGGAGCAGAGTAGAGGTCGTTGTCACCAACTACTATAGTCACTGGGAGAATGAGATATGCAGGAGGTGTCTTATGAACGCCCGGCCTCCAGAACGCGCTCCACGCCTTCCGCCGTGCTTTGGTTGCGATCGCGTGCGCGCTCGAGGTGCACGAGACGCCGAAGCACTGTCGAAAGTAAGAGGCTCGCGCCAGATGTGAGACAACTGAGACTTTGCTCTGCCGTTCAGTAACTACGTCCATTAATTATGTTTATTTGATTGCTACTGAACTGTTCTGATGTGTCCCGTCACTTCGTGTATTGTCGTTTCATGAGAATAGTTCATTAGAAACCAATTTTGCCACGGGCGTGCAATAGAACCTTTTCAAATCGTCGTCAAGAGACATTGGCGGTCGCCATTGCTTGGGCAGGACGCTGTTGATTAGATCCGAATGCTTGCCGAACACTAGAGAGTATTAGCAGATCGTTCCAATGCCTCCGATAACGATACACAAGATACTCCGGAGACGCCTTTGCGCATGTATCGTGTTGTTATGTCGGATATCTTTATCGGAGGTGTCGGAACGATCTGGCTAAAGCTTTACTGAAATAGCAGCGATCATGCTCAAAATTTCGCGTTTCTTCACCACCACTAACGTCACTGCGTAGCTTTAAGAAAAAAGAAAGCCGTTGACAATTCCCTGTAACGCCGAATTAGAGCGCAGCTCTTGAGGAAGAGGAGGGAAGGGTACTGAGGGGACGGTATACCCCTCCTCCTCACCCTGCCTGCTACTCCTCCTCCCCCTCTTCCTCCTCCTCTCATCCTTCAACCTCCTCTCCTCGTCTCGGGGAAGTCACGTCACCTGGGGGGGGTCACGTGAACCCCGTGAAGTCACGGGGGTCACGTGACCTCAGGGTTACGCCCACGGCGACGGCGACGCCGAAAAGCTCGAGCCGGAAACGGGCGCCTAAAAGCTGCGCTCTAGAAAAAAACTATCGCGAAACAGTGACGGAAAAGCAGAGAAAGAATTTAGAGGATAGGTTAGGGGTGTTCACTTTGCCGCGACGAGTTCAGGCAGCTTGAGTGCTTCCCAACTTTATTTAATAGCGAGTTTTAGTAGACCGTGTTTCCCGCTCCGCTGAGCCCCTCCGCTACCCGGAACTCTACAGCCAAGGCCATCGGCGCGCAGGCGCAGTGGTGGTTTTTTCGTTGCGGAGGGCTAGCGGAGCGGGAAACACGGTCTACTAAAACTCCCTATTGTTTCGAACGCGCTAGTTCGGTGTTTTCGCGCAAAACGAAGCTCGAGGACAACTATGCACATACCTTGCAGGTAATGTTCTACTGCTGCTGCGCGTATAGATTAAAGTGTCTAAGAACGCGATGCCGCGCGGAGCATCTAGCTCGGCGCGTCATCACATTCCGCGTTGCCACTGCTACGGCGCCCAAAACGCGTCTCCGACCGATGTGTTTAGCGCGTCGTAGACGTCACAGGAGTGTTACGCTGTCGCCGACAGCGATCCTAGCGGCGTGACAACAGCCGCGGCGGATGTGGCGGACGCCTGTTCGCTCCAGGTCGCCCTCCAGCCTGACAGTCCACGCAAGCTTCGACAGCCAGGAGCTGGGACGCTGCGATGACGGCGACACTCGCGTTCGCTCCCTCTTCTTGCCGGAACATGTACCACCAACCACCAGGATCGCGACATCCGACAGCACGACACTCCGGCTTCTGTGACGGCATATGCTTCCATTTCGGGACCGCTTTCGATACATGGGCCCTTATACGGCGCTAAACAAAGCAGTCGGATACGTGTTCCAGGCCACGACCCACTATTATCATGACCTGCCCACAGAATGGATCCCCATGGAAGACGCTGTCGCCGATGAAGTCCGCTACGTTGCCATTGGGGGCGTTTGGTAAAGGATTTTCTGAGACCTAAACACGGTTCCCAGCCTGTCTAACGCACGGTCCGCACGGCGCGCGGCTGGTGATATCTGTTTCTCGGGAACACCCACCGCAGCGTGGCCCCAGCAGGCTGCAATTGCTAAGGTCAGGAGTAACAGTAACACGCAGCAGGGTGCACCGCTTTCATGTTTGCTGGGATCGAAAGAGCGCGTTTCTCAGGCACAAAACCGCAAAGGAGTTTTCTTAGCTCCGATGCTCTTGCGCCATCGTCGAAAAAAAGGAGCTTTCTCGGACCAGCCATATATAACCACTGTGCTCACACCCGGCGCCTCTAGTGGTGAATTTGTCACGGGACCACCGGCTGACGACGAGATTCCTCGAGGCCCGCGAAGGGAGCAGGTCAGGACCAGATAAGGCCGCCGCGCCTTGAGCGCCTTCGATTGATATGCAGCTACCCTATAGGAAACAAGAAAGCCTTTATGCAGCGCCGCGAAGTCATGGCGTGACGGAACGCTGCGGCCGAGGCCATATACTACAAGGAGCGCGCTGGCACATTCTTCTGTGGGCAGGTCAGGATTACAGTAGGTCGTGTTCCAGGCACCGTTCCACTTATACTGCCCTTGCCCCACGGTGAGGGAAAAAGGGAAAATTTTTTTATAAAGCGGCCGATATTGTAAAGTTCCCATTGCAGAACTGCGGCAAGAAATGACGCCCGCGTGCGCGCTCGAGCTGCCCAGGGGACGGGCACAGAGCGCGCGGCACAGTTAGCGCGAACGAGCGATCGCCGGTTCTTCCAGCGTTTCTCTCGCAACTCGAGGAGCCATCGTCGACACCGGTGAAATGCGCTCATCCGGGACAGCAACCCAGGCAGTAAAACACGACATTCGCCAATAATACGTCCGAGCCAAACACGCAAAATGTGCCCACGTCCCGTTAGCACTAACAACGTCGCGGTGCGCGCAATGGCGCACGCGTACGGCCGCCTGTCCGTCACTGCACTTTCTGCGAGAGCGACAATCGCTTTCCGCGATACCTGATCATAAAAAAACAACAACGAGCGATTGCGATACTCCCGATTTGCAGGCCACGGGAAGGAGTGACGACTCAACAACGCGTATCCGCGTTCCCCGGCGTCTCCCGTTGTTACTTGCGTGGTGTTGCCGCACTTATTTCGGTATTACCTTTTCGTTTTTTCTTGCGCCCGTGTTGTTCGTTAACGCGTGGGTGATGGTTTTACGGCCTTGCGTAACTTCGATGGAGGAAGTTCGCAGGATTGCTCAATACCGGCCGGTAATCGACTGTACCGAGGCACCTCGGAGCGGCAGCCCGTTTCTTTTTGACAAAGGCGCCACGAGACAAGGGCATAAAGGAAGAGACACAGCACGAGCATTTGTGCCGTGTCTCTTAGTTTGCGTCCCTGTCTTGTGGAGCCTTTTGTCAAAAGGAACGACATACGAACTATAGCGCTTCTCACTAGTGACTACAGCCCGTTTCGTTTTCACTATTTTTCTTCCGATCCCAAGACGTTGAAGTGGAGGGTCTCTACAACGCGGAACACGATGACGTTTCTCCCGAAAAAGCTCAGTGAACTTCTCCGGAAACAGCTGTTCCCTCGAAATAACGCCGCCTATACTAATCGTGTCAAAAAAAGAAAGAAATCAGTGCAAGACGCAAGTGCTTCCACCGACACTCTGCGTTTCTCTGCTATCTATTTCACTAAAGAGCAGCCCTATTAAGAAATAGTAAAAAAAAGAAAAGAAAGAAAGAAAAGAAGTTAACATTTTTTGTTTAAGTTAGAACTTGACACTGAAATTCCGGAGGGTATCAGACATGCGCTCAGATCGTTTATTTTCGGTCCGATAAAATATAGTGAAGAAATCGTTCTTGAAAACATGCACCCTTCCATATCCTCCCTGGATGCTCTGTGAGGACACATCAGTCGGAAGTTCGAGTAGACCGCTTTTGCATTCCGATAAAGCTCAAACACAAATGAAAAAAAAAACACCTAAATTTGCACAAAATTGGAACTTGACACAAAAAAAAAATTGTTCCACAACGTTCAATTTTATATGAGCCACCCGCGGAATTTTTATGGTATGATTAACCCAAAACACGCCTTTGCACATTTCCGATGTAGATGCGCTGAATACCTCCGCTTTGCAAAAATTGCATGTGAGGATTTGGTCCCGATCCGATTTTTGTACGATTCACGGTTGGCTCTTTCGCGAATGAAGCCGACGCTTTTGCGAGTACATATTTGCGTTTCGTTATCGGAGCGCAAAAGCGATCTAAACTCCCTGATACGAGGTGTGATACGAAATTTCAGAGTCTAGTTTCGGAACGCAAAAAGAGAGGGCAGCACAATGATGCGCCCCCAGTAGTCGTAAACAGGGAACTTCGGCGTAATTTTCTGAGGACATTACGCCAAAGGGCGCCGTTCCGAGAACACTGGAAGACGAAGAGAGGCCGAGGAAGGTCACCCCACCTTCCTTCCGTCTTCCAGTGATGTTCTCCCATTCTCGAAGCGCGAGCAGCTGTCAGAACACCTCCGACGACTCGCTGCTTTTTCGTCATAAGCCTGCCGAACCATCTCAAATTCCAGTTCCAGATTCGCCAAGTCTGACGCAAAACTGATGTTCGCTCTCGCTCTGGTGTGCAGTCCGGGCGGAGATTGCCATTGTGCTCATGCACTGGGTCACTAAAACTCGCGTAGCGCAGCTCAAAATGTTCACAGAACGACGCCCGTCGGCGCTACCGGATGTTTAATTTTAACTCAAACAAACTAAAAACGAAAAAGGAAAAGACAGGGTGTGAGGGTTAGACTAGTTCTGTCTTCACCACGTCTTTATCAGACACGGCGGATGTTAGATGAGAAAAGAATCGTCCTGCTAAGTTGTCAAATTACCTAAAATATGTTACTTAACTTTGTGAATTATTGGTATTAGGGGTCATGTTCGAATTGCAGTATTGACGGCAATTACTATCAATTTAAAGAATTTACGAAAAGGTAATGTTTTCTTTAAATATTAACTGCCCCGTTTTTGTGTTTTTTTGTTGTTTTTTTGCCCGATTTAAAAAGCGACATTAAAAAAATAGCGCTCTAAGTCCTGCTCACAACGAGGCTTGGAAGTGTGACGTAGTCGTTTTAGTCACGTCGTCACTTGTGTTGTCAAGGCTGCGCTGCCAAGAGAGTGACGACACGGTTGAGACGATACGTCTATCTTCCAAGCGACAAACTCCTCGTTCCCACAGTTGCGTCGATTGCGTCGCGCTGCGTTGCGTCGTGCAGCACAGTGCTTCCCCATTGGCTGGTCGCAAGGGTCACCATAGCAACAGCTCGACGCGAGTGGTTGCAGTCGCACTCCAAATTAACTGTGTGAACGAGCCTTCTCTATGAGCAGCGCTTGCAACACTCTTTTAGAGCGCAATTTTTAAACTGAGCGAGAAGACGCGAAAGATGATTGACTACTATTTCGAAAACAAGTAGTAATTGCCGTCAATACTGAAATTGACACGTGACCCTTAAAAATTAACATAATTTAGCGAATCGCTCAAATTACTGTCACGATTATTCTTTGACCTAATGTAAGCGCAGCCTGATAATAATGTGATGAAGAAAGAACTTGTCAAACCCTCACCCCCCCATTAAAAAAAATATTCGAATTAGAATTAAACACCTCGTATAATGACGCTTTTTAACGTGTCGAAACCGTGACGTGCTTTTATGTTTACGATAGCCGCAGACGAGTTGTACGACCGCAGCTCTGCCACACATCTCTCGTATCCGAACAAAGGTGTCTTCAGTCTTGCACATATTAATAGAAAAAAGCATAGATTACAATTACCATGACTCTCGGTTTAAAAAAAAGGATTTAATTAGAGTATTCGATACCCTTCGGAAGTAATTGGCCTTTACACGATAAAGTAACCGATTTCAAAACGACAGATTTTTCAGCCGGTTTAAAAGGCTCGTCTTGCGTACTGTTAATGGACCTTTTCCAAATACCGACGGCACCAGGCGGTGGCTGCACGAACTAAAAATCAAGGAAGTGACCTACCTGCGCTACCATCGATAATGGGAGCTACGTTACCAGTTGCTTCGCTCTCTGAGCAGCGTCGCGCGCCCAAAGCAACGAGGTAGGCCTAGCGCGACTTTAAAGAAGGAAATCCGTAGCGTCCACCCAAACGTCGTGTTTTTCTTTCCGTCCACTTTCTTTTTTTGTGCAACACAATTATATATATGCTGCAATTACGTGTTCTACTCATCGATTTACAGCCTCATTCCGAATTTCCTCGATTTTTTCGTGCCGACTTCCACCGCTTGGCATCGGGCGCTCGCGCGTGCGCAGAACGCTTCTCGGAAAAGGTCCATTATTCGATCAGAATCATCTATTGTAAGTTATACAAATCTTCCTAATTCACCGATTTTGGTAAATCATCCTCCGGTCGAGACTTGATTCGAGGTTTCCTTGGCAGGAAACCTATACAAATGGCGCCATAGGAAAAGGGGGGAAAAATAGAAACGCTTACAAATAATTTGTGTACTTTCAAAAAATAATCAGATCACCCTTGCGATTACTTCCTAATAAATGCATTAAAAAGTACAAAATACTGCAAAAAGGAATCGATTCCAAGTAAATTGATTATTTGTACTGAGTGCCGTATAACTCTGCTCGGTGTTGCAACAGCTCCCGCGAGTTACGGGGTGTTTCAGGTCTTTGTGCCATTATACATTAATAATGCCTGGTGCACGTATCGAACCAAAGCGGTATTATTCAAAATCGCGTGAAACGAGTGAAGATTTTTTTTGTCATGTGCCAAACTGGCGAGTAAACGCGTATTAATTATCCAATTATTTAAATATTAATATACACAAAGGTTATTAATTAATATTAATATTAATATACACAAAGGTTACTTTGGCGGAAACGACATGATGAGATGTTTCTCAACACACTCTATAGAACTTTTGTATTGGAAAGTTTGCACACGAAAATAATAATAAAGCTAGTGAATTAATGCGCGGTAATTAGACAGTTTGGCATATCGCAAAAAACACATATTGAACGTGCTCAATCGGACTCTTAACAGTACTGGGTTAATTCGACATGTGGTGTACCAACTTTTTTTGAAGGACTCGGCAGATGTTTATCGAATACCCTGCATACTTCTTTAAAAAGATCTAAATATTGCTTTCGCCATGGAGGAAGTTCCGCCCTTCAAGATGGCGGCGGCCGAAAGCGTGACCAGCGTCATCCTACCTCGAAGAACCGAGTAGACCTCGGGCTGCGCCAGGATTCGGTGCAGTAACTCCTGCTCGTGTAGCCTCTCGGAGTCTGCGTCCAGGGCTTCTTGGCCTGAAAGTGCGCGAGAAAGCACGTGGAGTTATACGAAGGCAAACTCGAACTACCAGGTAATATATATATATATATATATATACGTTTGTCTTCATGCATATACTAAATCTGGCTTAGCAGACAGTAGACTGAATAACTGTCACCATGATATCACTTCATTACACGTAATAGAAAGGAAAAAAGAGTGCGCAGGCCGTGCGAGTTTTGCGGAAAGGCAAAGGCCCACGCAAACAGGTGTTCCTGTACAAGTGATCCTTCATGCCCCTCAATATTTAATTAAACAAATTGGACATAAAAATAACTATATATCTTGAGGGGTTCATGAAAAGGTAGATGCGTTTGTGAAGAAAGAAATTTAGAGAATCACGGTTTCTCACTTCCAAAAAGAAATAATATGCATCACTTGGAAAATATCGATTAAATTACAGTCACTTGTGTGTGCTTTATTTTACACTGCACTACTGCCACGCTATTAAGATATATATATATATATATTCTTTATCGGACTGGACAACACAGGTTAGCACATGAGAGGGAAGCTAGAACCCATTTTTGAAATAGCCAGGCTTTACACTGTGCGGCGTGTGAAATATTAACACTAAATTCAAAATAGCTACTGAGGAAACTAAAAGAAACAAAAAAAAATACAAGGGTTACACCAAAACTAATATTTACTTCTTTTCTTTTCCGCGCGCTCCAGTGGGATGATGCCGATCACGGGTTGTATACCTTCCAAGTCGAGCAAGCAGTCTAAAAAAAACACAACGCTTCGAGCGTTCTCTCTTTTTTTTTTCTTGCTGGTGTTTTGTTAGCATTTATTTCTCACCACAAAACTTCTTGTAAACCGTTGGGAACGAGCTGTAACACCCTCATATTGCCCATATTACACCTGAGATCAGACTTTTAGTGCTGTCAGTAAAGCCCCTAAGAAAAAAATTTGAAACACCGATAACTTTGCGAAAAAAAGGTATTGTGACTAGCAATTTGGGTTACTATAGTTCAGATGTGTCTATGAGTCTATTGAACTAATTTTGAGACAAATTAGTGAATAGCAAACAAGCACATGAATACGAAGACGGCACCAGCGCCTGTCGTCTTCGTGTTCATATCATTGTGTGTTCTTTGCACTATTCATGTTCCTATAATTAACCAACTAGCCCACCGTACCATTTTAGCAAAAATCTTAATTAGACGGTGGCAACACCATTTTCAATATTGCGACATATATGTAACAGGTGTATAGTTAAAATATATATATTTTCTGGTTTTGCTCTAGTTTAATCGCAAAAATAAGATAACGATTTTAATTTTTTTTTTAACTTAGCCCTAAAGAAACCCAGTAGGATTGTGATGATAATAAAATTAAATGAAACGGTGCAAGCGAGCTGAACAAGCATGACGAAAATAATCCTTGGAAAAGGGGAACAAGGACGACAAAGGACAAACACAAATCTCCAAACACTGCAGCTATGTGAACGGTGCGCGACCGAACAATTCCACCTGGTCCTGGTATCGAACCAGGGACCTCTCCTATTCCAGTGGAGCGCTCTACCAACTGAAGTAACCAGGAGCTAGACGTCAGTAGAGCAAACGAGTTTTATCAGCTGCCACCAGGCTAACACCAACAAGGGTGAACGGCTTCCACATTAAGGTTATGATTATAATGCAATTAAATGCAAAGGTGCAAGCGAGCTGGAAAAGAATGACGAAAATATTCCATAGAGAAGGGGAAAAAATGGAGGAAACACAAACACACATCTCCAAACACATAGCTGTGTTTGGAAATTTGTCTTTGTCCTTTATCCCCTTTTCCATTCTCCAGGGATTATTTTCGTGATACAGTAGGTTTAATAATTACAATCATTCTTCTATCTCAATAGGTGAAACAACGAACTGAAGCGCATCCCGCCAATCTCGAAATAAATCACGAATATTTATCAAGGATCTAGAGAAACTCACGAAGTTCGAGTTGTCCAGGTTCGACTTTTCGAACTTCTAACGCAAGGCCGAAAAAAGTTCGAATGAAGGTCGACTATTATGCGCGTGCGCAGAAATTGGAAACGAATTCACGCCGCCTGGCGGAGGAAGGTGACAAACTAACAAAATTATATTTGTCTTTATATTGCGTAAACACTGGAAATTATTTTCTAGATTCTAAATAAACCACTGCACCAATCTTGTCTCTTCAATACTTTCTTTTGTTTTCTGCGTTGAAGTGAAGATCGAAACACGGTTAAAAAGTCAAACTTCGTCAAATTTTGTCAAACGCTCGAAGTTTCGGGTAACCAGTCGCATCTCGAGGAAGGTTCGCGACATCCCTAGCTATGGCTAATTCGGATGGTCCTTTGCCGGAAAAATATTTTGCTGTATTTTCAGCAAGGGCGTTTGCCCGATCAAAGGCGCTGTTGGAGGAGGTGTTTTTCAGGCGTTTGCCGGCAATTTGCCGGCACAATTTTTGCCCGAGCTCTAAGAAGTCGTGGCAGCTTGACTGCTAGCATACCTCGGCAAACCTTAATCATGAGGACCCTCACTCATCCGCATTCACCCTCATCTTCGCAAGTGAGGTGAGGGTGAGTGAGTTTCTGAACCAGGAAAATTCATGAGTGTGAAGGTGTGTGAGGAACGTGAGGGCTGTGAGGAGCGTGAGGGGTGTGAGGGCCATGAGTGCGTGATTTGTATGAGGGCCGTGAGGGCGGTGAGTGCGTGAGGGGTTTGAGGGCCATGAATGCGTGGGGGGCATGAGGGCGGTGAGCAGCATGAATGCGTGAGGGGCGTGAGGGGTGTGAGGGCGGTGAGTGCCTGAGGGACATGAGGGCGCTGAGCGCGTGACGGCCCCTTCAGACGGAGCAACTTTTTCAGCAATTTTGGTGTTGCTGGCGGGTTGTTCCCTAGCTTTCCCTAGATCGACACGTATTGCTGAGATCGGGTCCCGCTCGAAACAAGCGAGCAAATCGGAGCAATTCGAAGACGTTTAAAGCGGCTGCCTCCAATCAGGGACGCCATATTTTCACGTGATACCTCGTGCCGGTGATGATGACAACAAAAGACTTGGTTCTGGTTTGAAATCGATCGTTTTTTGGAAATAAACTGTTTCAGAAAGGTGCATTAGTATTCTCAACGAGATTGAAATGTATAAAAATACGTTTATAGCGCGTAATTGTGTGTCTAAATAGTGCAAGAAAAATAAAATTTCATGATGATGATGGTATATTGCAGCAACTAATTGTTGCGTGCGAACGCGGGCTGCCCGTGTTGCTGGTGTTGCGACGTAAGTTTCTGGGCGAAATTGTCCAATCTGAAGCGGGCCTGAGTGGCGTGAGGGCCATGAGTGCGTGAGGGCGATGAATGCGTGAGGGGCGTGAGGGTTATGAGGGCGTGAGGGCCGTGAGAGTCATGAGTGAGTGAGGGGCGTGAAGGCGGTGAGCGGCGTGAGGGCGGTGGATGGCGTGAGGGCCATGAGTGCGTGAGGGGTATGACTGCGTGAGGGGCGTGAGGGCGGTGAGTGGCGTGAGGGCTGTGAGGGCCATGAGTGCGTGAGGGGCGTGAGGGCCGTGAGGTTCAGTGAGAGTGAGTGAAGGGCTGAAGGTGAGTGTGATGTGAGGATGAGGGTGAGAGGGGGCTGAAGGTGAGTGTAGCTGTGAGGGTAAGGGTGATTGAGGGGCTTAGGTGAGTGTGGCTGTGAGGGTGAGGGTGAGTGAGGGCTACCTAAAATGCCGACCTGTCTGCTAAACTGTATCCGGCATCATCATATCAAAATTGGGAAAGACACTAAACGGAATAATGCTCGCGAATAGCGGATTCGTGTCGTAAACAAAGCCATCGAGACCGTACATTGTGGTTCGAGAAAAAACAGCAAAAAACACGAAAATAAAATAATGAATGATTTAAAGGAAGCCATTCTTTTTTTTGGAAAATTTGACCAGCTACCGCAAGGTCAGTTTGCTCTGGTACAAGGCGTGTTATTACTACGCTCTAAAAAAAATAATGACGCAGTTTGATGCTTTTAATAAGGGGGCGCTTTGAAAAGATTGAGGATTTCAGAAAAACAGAGAAAACAAAAATAGAATATAAAAAATAGGATATCAAAGGCGACGCTTGGAAGTCTTCTTGGGAGCCTCGTCAGATGTCGACCGTTCTTCCGAAATGAAAACAAAATATATTGAAAATTGACGCGCCTTCCCATTAATTTTATAATTAAAGATCCTGTAAGCTGTGCGAAGTGTGGTAATGTTAATATTTCGGAAACTATCGCGAAGCCACTTGTGTTACACACATGTCAGACAGTCGAAATTTACACTGTTGACACAGCGTCCTCAATTCAGGATTGATGAGTCGAAGAAGAAGTTAACAAAGCTGACGGGCTGCACCGCTGGCGGGTTTTTCGCCGCCGACAAGAGCTCGCCGGCGACTAACCATCCGAGTTCGCCATTATTGTAGTCACTACCAGAGTCAGAACGGCCAGGGCGGGTCTTTCGAAAACCCGCCTTCCACCGTGCTTTAGCAGCGGGCGGGCGCTCGGGGAACACCATATGCCGAAGCGTTGCCGAAAATAAAAATCTCACGCTGAAAGCGAAAAAAAAAAGAACTGAAACTTTTTTTTTTGCCATTTTATTCTTCTCAGTGAGTATGCGCTGAAAAGCTGCGAGAGAGAGAGAGATAGAGAAAAGGATACGAGAGTGCGCGGACTCGTCAGAATGTCGAGCTCTCCCTACCGAAAAATCCGGTATAACTTTTCGCTATCCGGATTATGGAACCGGAAATCTATCTGGATTCTATCCGGATTCTATCTGAAATTTAGGTTGTTCGAATAATTAAGGGTAAAATGGGACGCGGGGCAAAGCGGCAATGAGAGTACGTTCAAACTTCACCGAGGGGCGCCGTGACCTCTACTTTTTGCGTAAAACGTAAAAGATGTCGGCAATGGGGTCCCTATCGTTTCGTCGAAAGGAAACTCGTCTCGTGGAATTACGTTTCGTGGACAACCTTTCATGGGCACACGTTTCATAGACACACGTTTCGTCGACACGAACGTTTCGTCAACACCTGTTACGCGAGTTGCAAAACGTAGGGAAATTTCATCACCCGTATATCACTGGGGTGCGCTGAAGGCGGATTTTCTAATCTCAGCTGAAAAATGAACGGAGTATAGCTGCTTTTTTTCACTGCACTCGTCGAAGGCGTTCGAATGCGTGAGCCAAACACCGGCGTTCCGCGTTCAAAAGCGTTCGATGAGTGCAGTGGAGACAGAGGCAGCAGGAGGAGGCTGAGGAAAACTGTATTCAAAAGCTCGAGTCCGAGCCGTCCGGGACAGAAGTCATTAAGCGAACCGCTATATCGTCTGCTTCTTGCACAGGGGCTGCGATGATGTCAAAATGCCGGCCTCTTATTGGCTGATTGAAAAACAAAAATAGGGGGTAGACCTCAAGGCGTCTAGCAATGAGGTCTGCCCACTATCCTTTCAATCAAAGCCAATCAGAGTTCGGCGTTGTTCTGACGTCATCGCAACTCCTGCGCCAGAAGCAGACGACTTGCTCTCCGCATAGCTTTACGTCTACCCACTAATCCTTTCAATCAGAGCTCTGCCTTCTGACGTCCCCGCGCTCTCCTCCTCTCCCTCAGTTTTTTAGCGCATAGTAATCGTCACTAAAGCTTTGTTCGTGCTTCCTAGCCTCGAAACCGGCGTCACCACTGCACTACAAACGTTACATTCTCTTTGGAAAGCACATCCCAACCACACCTCGGAAACATTCTGCCCCTGGACGTTACAAACGCGCACGTCAGAGATCGCGCCACTGCTATTGGTTAGACATCCCCTAAATGACGATTGAGAGTTTTTATACGGCACAGACAAGGATGGGAAGGTATTTTTTAATGTGTTTCTTCGAGGCACACAAACCTGGGCAAAGATATCAATAAAACATTAGGGACCACCTCGACAACTTCGAAAATTCGAGAGAATATTCTTTAAAAAACTATACACATATATAAATAGCGTGGCAGCAGTGCAGGGTAAAATCAAGCACACCCAAGCGACTGTAATTTAATCGGTATTTTCCAAGTGATGCATGTTATTTCTTTTTGAAAGTGAGTGACGGTGATTCTATCTCTAAATTTCTTGCTTCACGAACGCTTCTACCTTTTCATCAACCCCTCAAGCATAATATGAATTGTACCCACCTGAGCTTGAAACCTTTTCTGGTTCGAGGGTTCCTTGGAGTCTCTCTTGTCGGATTTGGTGGAGAGTTTTTACTTGAATATCTTCTGTTTATGAAAAGAAAACAATGTACTCGTGAGCAAAACAAGAAACAATGAATAAGACAACTACAAAATTTTGGCTCTGAGTAAAAAAAGACACACACGAAATGAGTTTAATACTGCAAGCTCTTGAAATAAAATTGTTTGGTGAATTCCGGTCTACAACTAGCAGAAACTTTTTAGTTCCAGCTAACCTTGAAAATTGTTTAGCCGAAAGCAATATGAGCTGAAGAAAATTAGCGTCACTATGAGTGCACCACGAGTCTAAAAACTTTCGTGACGTCATTGTCCTCCAAGACGAGAAGAGACGCAAACAAAGGGACAAACTTGCAACCTGCCAACAAGGTATGAATCATGCGCAATTTACTAATTGTATTCCAATTCTAAGTACATAATCAGGGACTACGTACGTCGTTACGTCTATACATTCGACGGTCCGGGCATCGAGTCCGTGCCGTCTATGCAATCGACGGCACGGATTCGAGACCCGGATCAGGCCAATTATTTCGGTCGCGCACCAGTCACCTAGCTCTGTTTGGAGATATGTGTTTGTCCTTTGTCCCTCTTGTTCCCCTTCTCCAGTGATCATTTTCGTCATTATTGTCCAGCTCGCTTGCACCTTTGCATTTAATTGCATTATAATCATTGGTACCATGCCGCTCGCGCTAGTGGCAGGGCAAACCAGAGGTTCAGTCTGTCCATGACAGCATATTTATCGCAGTAGGGCCATGCTACGACTGAGCCAACCGCGACGCGTAGATGACAAGGAGCTTCCCCAAGCCCTCAGTAATGATTAAACCAACTTCAAACTATTTTTTACAGCGAACTAGTGAGGAATATTAAAAATAATTTAGCTAAAATCCATACTGTGTGCACCATTTTGGGGTAAAAAGTCCACGAGCATGAGCCCCCTGGGCACGCGCGCTTGAAAGTTTGACGAGGAATTGCTCGCAGTTCCACCTCTCGGTGTCGACATCAAGTGCATCAGTCAGTCCCGCCTTGTGATCCCACTACCCAACTTCTAGGCCACTTTAGTTACGGTGAGCCTTGCCAGGGCGCGCCTACGGTTTCCAGACAGGTACTCCAACAAAGCATTTTTCGACCACGCTGGCCAGATTAGTTTTTGAAGCGTGGCTGCTTGTAAACGTGTAGTGTCCAGTGAAAGCGATTTGAATCAGCCCGGGCCACGAAAATGCGCGAATCTTCCAAAATCGCTGGCGTTGCGGTATTCCCTACAGAAGAGCCGGATACTTTTCCTACCTTGTCCTCCGTGGTTTGTTGTCAGCTGCAGTCTACGGGGCGTGGCTGGAGGGCGCTTCTGTGGACTCTCCGCAGTGCTCTCCGTGTCCGACTCTGCAAGAAGCCACGTCACGGGGTCGCGTGCGTAAACGTGCATTGATGTGCATTCTTAACATATTCAGCATCTGGCGCCGTTGATGACGAAACCTCCGGGGGATCATTGCAACATAGCAGAGATACGCTATTTCCAGGATATCTTATTTGTGAGACGTGCCGTTTTTTGTCTATAAGTCGGTCTTACACACTTAAAAAAGCCTTATCAGAAAAAAAAGGCGCACCTTTGTATAAATCCACATGTACAGAATGTGTGGTTTGAATTCGAACAAATTCATTTTAAAAAGCTCCAGGTACACCTCAGCATTTCTTATGAGTAGTGAATGCGAAAGCATGCAAGCCGCTCGTCCGCTCCCTTTGTCGTCTGCTGTGTACAACCGCGCGCACGCTTCGGGATCTCGGAGGCCATGGCGCGGCGGCCAATGGGAGCCCCTTCTACGCGCGCCAGCCAATGGAACCGAAGGCGCGCGGAAACTAGGAGCCGTTTTCGCGCTTCAAACTGATGACGTCAGCTCTCTCCATCAGACCCAGTTAATGCTTTCGCATTAAAAATTCGTTAAACATGCACTAATGGGCTCTGTGCAGGTGAGTTACACGACCCAAGGGGATATAATACAGGAGGCTGATCGTCACGATAAGTGAAGTAAATAATGAAAATCTGTTTATTAACTTATTAATTGGTCAAAATGAAAGCGGGTTGCCAACCAGAAACTTAATGAGCGTTATCTAAAAGCACTAAATCAGCTAGGCTTAGAAAGGTGTGGAGCACGGGGTCAGCGCTGGGGTGCGTTAATGTTTCCACTCCTGCAATAGGGGCAACGCTGAAGGTCCGAAAACGTAAATAGTTTCGACAGCTTTTTCGAACCGCCAGTGTGGCAAAGTTCCGCTGTTAAATTAAAGAGGTACTCTGGCGGCTTTTTGAGCTACCCCAACTAACTATATTTAGGTAGTCATCGGCCTTTACCCTTTCCGGTAGGCTATTTAGTATCGTGAAATTCACAATAGTTCTTGTGAAATCGGCAAGTGAAAGTTATTATACCAAAACCAAAATTCAAATATTCCCGCGCTTTTTAGTGCGGTGACGTCAGGGAAAGGCAGGCTTACGGGCCGAAGGGGCAGTCTAAAAATGGACCATGCCGAGCATTTGTTTTCTCCTGCTAGGCGGTTGCTGGATCGAGTTTCAAAAGCATTCGTTTTTGACACCGTGAAACAGCTTGTAGTCAGTGGGTTCCTTGCCTTCCGCTGACGTAACATTTTCATTGTTGCCAGTAGACTCTCAGTTTGAAAAAAAAAAAAAAAAACACGGTGAGGACGAAAACTGTAAATGCAATAACTTCGCGGGAAAAAAATTTTTGGCCCCATATTTGAACTATTTCAGCGGCGTTTTCTGGTGTGTTCAGAAAATGTTCAGACAAATCGTGGACTACGAAGAAAACGCCGGAGTACCCTTTTAAGGTTCATACTTAGGAGGGGCGTTAATAAAGTTCGTGCTATTGTCACGAAGGAATAGAGATTAAGCAATAAAACTCAGGTAGGGGTCTAGTCTTTCTCTACATACGGCACAACCGATTTTCCGAACTTGGTCTTATTGCCGCCAAGCATACGTTTCCTTCCCTCCTAATTTAAATCGTTCAACTCCCAGATGCACTTTTGCGGGGTCTCGACTTCAAACCCACTATCTCTCTCTTTCTTTTTACAACTTAGCTGTTCGTTTTGCTTTCCGCGACCCACTTCTTGTCCCTTCTCGGGTCCCCTCACTTGATGAAGAGTATTCCCTCGAAACGTCTGTGTCGTTCTGTTTGTTGGTGTGTTTTCTTGAAATTGAAAGACCGTCCTTAGCCGGGACCAAGGGCACATCAGTTGATTTATAGATATTCCCGTCGTGGGCTTTCCGGGTGGTCTCTTCTATTACGGGTGGTAAGATGGAGGAGCAAACGCGTGTCCGATCTGCTTAGAAAATGGCGGAGAAAAGATGGCGACAGACGTTTTGAATTGTACACGTAGTGGTTGTTTCTACCTCTGTCAGGGCTTATTCTGTCGGAGGAATGTCGTCGCAACGTTGCTCTTCAGGTTTTCAAGTGAAGCTTCGTGTTTCATGAAAGATTGTGTGCACGCAGTAGAAAACGATTCGACCGACGAGCGGATTGGAGTGGCATAAGGAAGCATCTACAAAGCGGATTGCAAGGTATGACTAATTTTATTATTGGCTTCGCATTTGCACGATTGGTATTGCTTCCGCCCGATTTAACCTAATAAAAAAATTAGATTTGACCAATTGTATACTGGCATATTAATTGGATATACACGAGATGTGGCGCGTGCTGCTGTGTTCGTGAATTTTAAATCGCTTAAAGTTCTTCATGGACTGGGTATCTGCTATTTAACATTTTGAAACACTAAAGTCGCCTGTAATTTTGTCAAAGAAGAGACTAAATTGTTTTTCATATTGTGGATTTACTCAGATACTGCCTTAAATTATCATCTTTTTCAAGAAGCTATTTATAGTAAAACTTGAAATAGCAAGAACCAAACACGTTAATATTGATTATTAAGGAAACCTTCCCTTCTCAAAAACATCAGATTCACTACCGTGAACAGCACAATGTAGTATAACAAATCTATGCTAATTTAAAGTCATATTAAGGAAGGTTCCCTTCAAATGTTCTGTAATGTTTTTCTGTAAAGTAACCACGAAGTAACGCCGTTACTTTAGCGAAGTAACTGTAACAAGTTACTCTTTTTACTTTTGTAACTGTAACTGTGACGGGGCTACTTTTTTGCCTGAGTAACTGTAGCACTTCCATTTTAGCAGTAACGTGCCCATGACCGCCCGCAGAAGCGAAGCAAAAACGAGCGCCGCAGAAGAGTCGGGTACCCCCAAAGGACCCGAAGCAATTAACGGTGGTTTATGGCCCACTGCCTGACAGGCGCCGATAGGTTTGGCTCTGGGCTCCAGATTCCATCAGCAGAACTTTGTGCCTGAAGCCCCATCGCTTCCCTTCTTCGCTCCCGGAATGCCCCTCTTTAGGGAGCCTGTGCGATACATTGTGTTGTGTGTATGTTTATACAGCCGGAAGTTAGACAGCCACAATGGGTGTCATGGTGTCCCAGTTGTAGATGAGCCATTTAGCCAGTGCAGTACAACCGCTAGTCTGGAGTCCTTAACGTGCACCACGCAGTAGTGACACACGACCGCACGCTGGTACGATGCTCATTCAAATCGAAACGGGCACGGGTGGGGATTGAGCCCAGAATCCTTGGGTTCTGCAGTGCATGCGAGTTTTCCCTTCCGAGGTGGTGTGCGCCAACACACTCGGCCACAGTCGGTCGGAGTCAAACGCAAGTTTCTGAACGGGCCTTTGTTGTTAGATATAGAGACACAATCACGAGGCAGACCCATGAAGCCTCTATTATAGTGCGTTTGGGGAACGCTGCGCGGGAAAACCCTCTGTAGCATTATCCGAAAAATGAGCTTTCATTTTTACACTCATATAGACGATTGCAAGTAGGGTATCTAGACACCGCCATGTCTCCGCTCGAGTCAGCAAGTGCATACGTGCATTTACAAGCTTGCCAATGCTACGTTCAAGCGAACGTAGCCTCGACAAGCTTGCAATTACACGTACTTGCCCGTATGAGCAGATAAATACATGGCGGTCGGCAGATGCCTTCCCCAGAATCGTTTATATGAAATGATGTTCGCGCTTGGCTGTTTTGCGGGTGGTAGGCGCTCTCGTGCCATGGATACGTTCCCTTTTGATTTTTCTTTTTTATTGCTTTCATCCAGGGTTGAGCAGTATCGCGATACAAATATGTCGCGATAGTATTTCAGAAATTTCTAAATGATTATCTATATTTTTCTATCGCGATACCCTTTTTCGATCAGTATCTGTACTTCAGTATCGGAATATATTTTCGGCGTATTCCTCGTATCGCTATACAATATCAGGCCAATGTATCTCATTATCGAGAAATCAATGACCTCCAAGCGAAAGCTCAAAAATCTGTTTCACCCACCCCTTTTTTTTTTTTTACAGGGACCCGTGTTTTTACGTTGCGTTACGAAAAGTCACCGGGAAATATGTGCTTCGTATTAAGCGTGGCTACCAATTCAAGGAGATAGCCTGGCACGGCGAACATTCAAGAAACGAATGTTTCGGTGGCTTAAACCTTACGTAAGAAACCGGTTCTGTGTGAAAAGTTCAACCGAGCTCGATTCCTTGCGTTACGCTACGACGAGCCTTGTGTCCTTGGTTGCCACGGTAACTCACCGTCCTAGCTCGTCGTCACCAAAACATTCGTGTCTCGAATGTCGCGTGCCAGGCTATCTCCTTGGAATGGTAGCCACGCTTAATACGAAGCACAGATTTCCCGGTGACTTTTCGTAACGTAACTTAAGGAAACGGGTCCGTATGAAGAGCCTTTACTTGCCCCATTGAGCAAAAAAGCGGCGTCGTTGTGCCCAAAAGATGGTCATGAAAATACGTCATCAAGGACGCGCCGCTCAATCGCATGCTCAAGGACGACGCCGGCCTCGGCGTCGTCCCAGAGATTGTCCTAGACGTCGTCCTTAAGGTCGTCGTTATCGACGTCGTCCTCTAAGCGTCGCTCTCAACGTCATCCTTAACGACCTAAAAGTCGTCGTAGACGTCGTACTTGGCGTCGATCTCAAGGACGTCGTTTTAAACTTTAAAGGGACACTGACCGCACCGACAGGGTATTTATATGCTCGCCAAGATTTGTATTCGTACATGACATACGAGAGCCCAGCTACCCAGGACACAATTGGCGGCTCAAGATTCGTTTTCTTTCCACCCGAAAACCGCCGATCAAGGACTGACCGGTTTGAGTCGCGCTCACTCTCTTCTCCGTGGTAACGTGCCGTTTTCTATGACACTACCACCAAAAATAATCAGCCGTAAGCCGTCAAAGGCATATCCTCAGTACTAAAAGGGGAAAAAAAAATATGACACTCATGTTTTGTGGTTTCTAAGAAACCG